TACCAAAGGTAGTATGCAATATAGTCTCTTTTGCACCTTGCTTCTATTCTCAGTCATGTATCCCAGAAGCTACTTCCTATCACTTCACAGAAATGAAGCCTGTGCTTTTGTGAAATGCCTCACTCCCACTTTACTGCCAAGTGATTCAGCTGATTAACCTAATTGGGGAATCTAGATCTGCACTTTCCCCTTAGTTTCACATCCAGAAAAGATAAATCTAATCAACTTTAAAAAACCTCTTGAATATATTCCAGAACAACCATGTTAACTGCCAGGAAATACTTCCCTAGACCTAAATGAGCTGTCACACTGCAGTTTTTATCTGGTTTTGCTCTTGTCTGGGCTTCGCTGAGTTAGAGAACAGCTCGTCTTCATCCCCTCCAAAACGGCCATTTTTAGACTTGATGGCTGCTACTCAGTGGTACCTCAAAAGCCTTTATTTGCTTTTCCAAGATGTTTAACTTTTGTCATGAGGATGATTTGCCAATCTTTTAACATGGCTGAACTCTTGCCAATATATTTGTTTGCTTGCTTAGTTTTGGAGCTCAGTTTTGGACATAGTGATTCAATTCCAGTTTTTAAATCAATGCTTATATCATCAAAACTAATCTTATAACAATTTTGTATTCCAAAAAATTATTAAAGATACTACCTTTACTTCCCAAAGAAAATAACTTATTTCACAACTATAAACCCTAGTAAAAATTGTATCAGCTGGATAATATCAGCACTGCTTAAAGCATAATATGGGAATGCACAATTTTGGGGTTTTTTTTAAGACTGAGATTCTTAACTATCTGGTGATGGATCTTTATGTTACTGATATATCTATAGACATGCAAAGAGTGTAATTAATAGAGGAGATAAAAATCTAGAAATATGTGAATTTTTTCAAAATTAAAAGTTATGCTTCAAGTACAGTTTTTGCTTCCACACCTATGATACCTCCATACATATATATGTATGCAGAGAGAGAAAGAGATGTATTTTAAGAAATTAGTATATTTGATTATGGAGGCTTGGCAAGTCCAAATTCTAACCTGGAAGGCTGGAGACTCAGAAAAGAGTTGCAGTTTAAATTCAAAGGCAGCTTACTTGTGAACCAAGAATAGTTAATGCAGCAGATGTGATGTGACTGCAATCTGCAGGCTCTGTTTGCTCCCTCTTGCTCAGGGGAAGTCAGCCTATGGTTCCATTAAGGCCTCAACTGATTGGATGAGGCCCACTCACCTAGGGCAGCCTTTTTCACTCAAAGTCACTGATTTAAACATATACCTCATCCAAAAACACCCTCACACAAACATCCCAAATAATGTTTAACCAAAGATCAAGGCCTCAAGGTCAGGCCAAATGGACACACAAAATTTACCCTCACCCCTGACAAGCACAATCCTCCTTCCTCTGTGCTTTCTCAGTATCACACTCAGTGCCTAGTACATGCAGGGAGGGCCCTGAATGACTTGCACGTACTGGTTCATTCAACTCTCACAATAATCCAGGAGGCAAAAACTGTTATCCTTTCTATTTCATAGTTGAGGAAGCCTAGGTAAGGGAATATAGTTTGAACTGAGACTCAAATACATGATCTTGGCTCTAGAATTTTTGTATCAGGGTCACCATATAATTT